AATAGACGTGCGGGCCCACCCACCCCTCCCCACCCCCCGAGGGGCAACGATTGCCCCCCCCATGGGGCCTTGCTGATTCCAACCGGCCCCTCCCCCCTGCTCCCCTCCCCCTCTTACCTGCCCCTCCCCCCGTTCCTATCCCCCTCCGTGCCTGCTCCCCCCCCCGAACCTCCCGCCCGTGACCCCACGACTGTCAGGAAGCGTCAGCGCCTGGATGTCAAAAGGGAAAATATCCCGGAGCAGACGCCAGGCTCCAGGCTGTGGGGAGGGACTGCTCAGCCCAGGCCCCCCCCGCCCCATCTCGCACGCGCCCTGTCTCGCACGCGCACGCACAAGCATGTGCGGCAGCAGCCGGGGGACGAGGCCTTGTGCCTTCTATAGGGAGGGGGCCAGATAAGTGTGCAAGGAGAGCGGGCGTGTGAGAGCCTGTGGATGGCAGAGGAGGGGGCGGTGCCCTGGGCATGTGAGTGTGCGTGGAATGGAGCGTGCAAGAGGTTGAATGTCCAACCTGCGTGTGTGTGTGTGTGTGCGCGAGAGACGGAGTGTGTGAGGGTGTGAACGTGCAACGGGCGGGTTTGACGGAGCAAATGTTCACCCCGTGTGCATGCCAGGGACCACTCGAGCGTGCGAGGGGCCAAACAGCTCTACCGTGCGTGCAAGAGGGGGATGGTGCATGGGTGTGAGTGTGCAATGAGCCACATGAGTGTGCAAGAGACCAAACAGCTGCCCCAGTGTGTGTCTGTGCACCAGCTTGAGCGAGCGGGCCAGGAGGCGTGTGCAGGCCCTGGTCTGAGGGGGGTGAGCAAGAGTGTGTGCAAATGTTTGTGTAAAGGACCAAGTGGCTACGAGTGTGTGACAGAGGCCATGGCCAGAGGGTTGGCGCTCAAAGGTGAAAGGTACCCCAGGTGTCTGCAGGGGAGTGAGTGTGCAAAGAATGAGGGGCATGCAAGGGACTGTGTGTGTGTAAATGCACATGAGGGCCTGAGTGTGTGAGGAACATTTTGGGGAGGAGGAGGGGGCAGTCTGAGTGTGCAAGCAAACTGAGCTATCCCCTTGCATGCCCACCCCTGTTCCACACCACACCAGTCCATGTGCACACACCCTTGCACGCGTTTCCCCCCGTGCAAGGTGCCTTGGTCTCTTGCACGCTCACCCCCTGACATGCAAACGCCTCCTCTTGAGAGCCTCCGTCCCATGCAAACAACCCCCCACCCCTAGGACACAACACTGGACTCGGGGGGGGGGTCACCCCACGACTCCAACTCTGCCCCCAACTTCTCAGACCCTGTGATCCCGGCTGGGAGCCTGCCACTGTCACCCCAGGCACGGCCTCGGGAGTCGCGGGGAGCCCAGGGCTGGGCTGGCAGGGGCTGTGAGTCGGGAGTGAGGGGCACCGGCAGACCTGGGGCGGGGGCAGGGCTGGGCTGGCAGGGGCTGCGAGTCGGGAGCGAGGGGCACCGGCAGAGCGTGGGGGGGGCAGGGCTGGGCTAGCGAGGGGCTGCGAGTCGGGAGCGAGGGGCACCGGCAGAGCGTGGGGGGGGCAGGGCTGGGCTAGCGAGG